GAAGCGAAATTTGTTAAACAACCCTGATGTGGCAAATATATTTAAAGGCACTAGCTAGGTGCCTCTTTAAACTTTATTTTGTTTTTAAATTGGATAGTGAAATATAAATTTGAGATGGTCTGAATGCATCTACTGATTTGTGGCCAAGTATTGAAGAAAGAGAGAGAGGGAGAGAAATACTGCGCCCAGGCAGACTAATAATAAAAAGAGAGATTGAAAATGTGAAATGATGAAACATGAAAATGATCTTCTTACACACGCACACACACGCACGCGCACACACACACGCGCACACACACAAAGCACGTACAGGCACATTGGCAAATAAGTCCATTTGTATGGAAATGTTAACAGTAAACACAATGATACGACACATTAGCGGGAAAACCTAACGTCTGTCTTAATGGGCGATATAAGACGTTTGCAGACAATTTTCTAATGCACACACACAAGCACACACACACACATAATCACTTAAATACACACGTACAAATAATCACACACGTAATGACAGAAATGTTTATGTGTTTAAAGATGTGCACATATGCTGATACATGCTATTCCCAGAACTTTAAAAAACATTTCTGCTACTTTTTCTGTCCACCAGTTTTCATCCTATTACCGGTGCAATTACTTTTTAAAATTCTGACACAAAATGCAACGTATAAAGTATGCCACTCGGTTTATTAATTAAACTGCCGTTTATCCAAGAAAACGCTTTCATTAAAATTTAAACTCACACACTCACTCACACGCACACACACACACACACTTATACACATACACACACGTTTTGTTGTCGTGCCATGAATCAACAACTGGATATCAGCTACAACTGTTTGTCACAAAAACAGGAACTTACGTGCACTTGATGACTTGTAATGCGGTGTATCTGGGAAGGATTTTTCTATGTGTATGTATAATTGTATATAAATGTGGTTTTATAATTATAAGTTTGTTATTGTGAAAGCTACTTATTATGTGATTTTTGTGGTCATATGTGTAGAAGTGATTTTTGTCTTTAATAAACTTGTAGGTAAATGTTGGGTTTGGAACACCGTGGTGTGTGAATTCATTTTGGAAAGTGCATGTTTTTTTTTTATCTTGAAACTTTGCCATATCTTCATCTGTCGTGATGTGTAATCACAGCCTGTCAGGTACAATGGGCATTACATTGAAAACGTTTCATCACATGTTTTTGCCTTTCTTGTTACAATTGGACGAGTGAATATTTATAATATTTAAGGTATATATTGGTGCGCTTACTTACGATAATACATGTTAATAACGTTAACGTATGTTACATATGTATTAATAAATATGCGTGTGTACGTGTAGACCACTTTTGTGTCTGTGATTGCAAAGGGTTTCATTTGACCTATGTGCGTATTGTCGGCTGGAGCATTTGCTGTCTCATGTGTTCGTCCGGTCTCGCAACATCTTAGACGGCGATAACATTGATTCTATTGTAGACTTCATTTCGCGCCATCACAAATTTTTGATAAATGACCGTCTGCTTGGGACATTTTTTCAAGTTGCATTCCTTCATAATGCCATTATCTTACACTTTTCCTTGATTTATACCAAGTTATTTTTTGCTTTGATTTAATAAAATTTTTATTTATGAAAAGAGTTTCATCCTTTGTGGCAAACCAGAACTTGATATTTTTTTATTTCTTGTTAAATTTGAAATTTTTATCATTTTATGTCTCTTTATAAATTATTCAATGTTAAATTACATACCATTTTCAAAATTTCAAACTGAAAAAAGTATTTTTTCCAAAATATTTTAATCTAAGTTTTATAATAACATGCAATTGAGCATTAAAAATAAAAAAAAAGATTTTACTTTAAAGATACATAGCCACTTTCAGCATAAAAAATGCAAAAACACAGAAGGAATAAAATGAAAAATGGAGATGAAGAAGGACTAACTATTTAATCCTGCCTTCATTTCACACAGCTTTCTTATCAGAGCATCTTATGCTGGTATGCTCTGTAAACAATCCTTAACAATTTTTATGACTCAAACGCATTTAGCATTGCCGGCCTGCTGGCTAGTCTCTGATCGCTTTTTGTTAATGCCGTTGAGGTTGCTGTTGTTGTTGCTGCTGTTGCTGCTGTTGTTATCGTCGTTAGCATGGTTGTAGTGGTTGTTGTTGTTTACAGTATTTTTGACATTATAATTATTCATTTTCTGCGGTAGAAATCTTCATTGTCAGCTCGTCAGCCAGCGTTTTTTGATGATGACAAATGATCAAGTAGACGATATGTCTCACTGCATGCAAGAGAAAGACAATGAAACATTCTACGCATATATTCTACTCCTCTGTTCATCTACTCTTTGAGGACAATCAAAATGTGCAAACTTTGTTAAACGTCTGGTTCATGCGGTTTGTGTTTATTGTTTAGGTTTATATTTTGTAAAAGTTTAATTTTTTTTAAATTTCACGTTTCATAACCTTATTTATTTATTACCATAAAATATATGAAAGCAACTTCAAACTAAAAATATGATCAGCAGGGATTATTATTCATTCAAAGTTTCATCACAACTTCTCCGTCACCATTTCAACAGCATCACCCCAAAACCTCTTATTAATGTACGTTGATATGTAAATCTGACAACCTCCATTTATAAATAAGGCATAAATGCCGGCTGACATTAAAATTTACATAAGTTGTATATAGGGGAGATATGGAGATGTTAGATTCTCGAGCTTGTCTGCATACTGCTGGCTAATTATTCATCTCGCCCCGACAACACCAGCGTGACTGGTCGTGATAAAAGATTCCCAAATAGAATCACTTTTTCACTATCTAATAATATAGGCTTACATCCCTCTTTCCTTTCATCGTTTTATTTATCTCTCTCTTTCTTTTTCTCTCTCTCTTTCTTTTTCTCTCTCTCTTTCTCTCTCTCCTTATCATTCTAATTTCTTCCTCTTTTTTTCTCTTCCTCATTTTTTTCTCTCAGTCTCTTTTTATTTCTCTTCTTTTTCTCTCTCTATCTCTTTTTTTCTCTCTTTCTCTCTTTATATATATATATATATATATATATAAAGAGAGGTAGGTAGGTAGGTAGGTAGGTAGGTAGGTAGGTAGGTAGGCTAGTAGATAGGTGAATGGTAAGAAAACAATCTCATAAAATTTGTATCAGGAGGTCTCAGGAGTGATCTTCAACTGACAGGTTTTTTGTCATCCAATGAAAAATGTCATCAATTGAAAGAACTGATGGTGCTGTGAATCTCTTAATGATGATGCTAGGTTTGTTGGTTCATCATCAAGATGGAGATAGTTGTGGTGTTTGTGAGGATGTTTGTGATGATGATGACGACGATGATGATAATAAAATAGATTCCGTTGAACGATGTAATGATGATGGCGATGATTAACACAATGATGATGACAACTGTGACGATGATGATGATGTTGCTACGATGTCGAGGTTGATTGGCGATGACGAAGAACTCATTAAGAGCATGTTAGCAATGATAATAAGATAGTAATGGCTGACAATAGAGAGGTTGATCATAATAAAAAAGTATCAAAATGTTCTAAAAATAAAAGTCTTTCAAACATCAATAAACATTCTCTTATCAACTCGTCAGCTTAAAATTTTGTGAGATAAAAAAATGTGTAACAAATGTACGTTAAAATAGGGAAAACGCATTCAAACTAATCTAATATACAGTAAAAAATGCGAAAAAAAAATTGGCTAAAAAACGTAAAATCGAAAAATAATTTTTTTTTCTGATAAACTTAACCAAACACTATCTTACCAACAACCACTACTTAACTACAACCAATCACACTACCAACAACCAATCACCTACCCTACTAGCAACTAACTACGGAGATCATAAAATGGTTATTAAAAGAAGTAGTAGAAGATCATACCGACCGAACATTTGAATTTATATAGAGGCGAACATAAGCATCCTAATAAACTTTAGCATAAACACAACCATAAATATATAAAAGTGAATTTATACCGAAGTGTAACGGGTTTAAACGAAATGGTTTATGTGACTGCCGGCTTTCATCTGCCTGCTAAATAAATAGAGAACGAAAACTGATATAGAGAGATAAATATTTAATAAAATAAAAAAAATAAAATTCATAAATAAAATAATTTTTTTTTAATTTCATCCTTAACACATCATGCGACGTGTTGAAAATGATAATATAATATGTGATATAAAAATATTCATAAAACATTTTCTACAAGAAAAAACTTAGCCGATAGCAATAACAAAAGTATGCAACGTATAGAGGAGTTTATGGCAAATATCAATTGACAATGTTAGAGCGTGGAATGCCTGGAATGACAGCTGCGTGGTGCCTCTCCATACATCTGCTATCCACTTCTAACGCAGTTTACATAAGTGGCTACAACATATAAAACACACATGCCAGTTTAAAGATGCCTGCTTTACAGACTGAAACGTGCAATAAACTAAATAAGTGGATGGTACACTTGTAACCGTTGTTAACAACGCTGCAACCTTATGATAGTGACCTACGAAACATCAGGAATGAATTCTACTACAAAAAAGTCTAAAAATTTGAAAGATTTAATTCTGAATAAGAGACAAAATAGAGACAAAAATAAACAAAATAAAATTAATTTTCCAAATAGAAAAATTCAGTCTTATTAAAACCACACACTGCACTAACTTAAAAAAAACAAAAGCTGAACTCAAAAATAGCAGCAAGCACGGCAGCAACAACCAGTTGAAAACAACACAACAAACACGCAACGACATAAGCTTACGTTATAAAAAACGCATTAAACAATGCAACTAACTTCACCACACACACGAAACCATAACAACAGTACCAACAACAACAAATTACACTGAATCTTAGCAATCTGGCAGATAAGTATTAATAGCAGCAGTAATAGCAGTAGTAGTAGTAGCAGTAGTAGTAGCAGTAGTAGCAGCAGTAGTAACAGCTGTAGTAGTAGCAGTAGCGACAACAAAAGAGATGACAAGATGGTAGGAGTAGGAACGCTGACGTTTAAAATTAATGGGATTGCACACGTGTTAGATTTCAATTGAAATCAAGCGCCGTCAGTCACGAAAATGATTTGTTGGTCGCGGAGTCAAGAATAATAGAATAACAATAAGATGAAATAATAAAATAATAAAAAATAAATTGTTAATAAAATATAATAATCCCATAGTTTGGGATTGTGTTGTGTAGCACTTTTTGACGTGATTCCTCAATATCGCTTGTTTGTATTATTTTTTATTCTCTAGAATTATTGTATTATTTTCTAGGGTTATTTTACCAGATTGATGATTTTATTTCAATTTCGTTTTGTTTTTTTTACACGAGAGTTTAAAATTTTTTGATACACTAACTAGATTAGACCTTACAAAATTTTCACCCAATGAATGACTAAATTGCAGCGAGGATATTTTAATGATATATCCAGAAATATCCAAAAATATCCAGAAATATCAAGAAATATCAAGAAATATCCAAAAATATCCAGAAATGTCCAGAAATGTTTCAACAACGTCGAATTTGTCTAGCAAAACCGTGCCCAGTAAATCTCGCATTACTGTTCAAATGGAATCAGTTGCTTAATTACATTACAATCTCTCTTGTGAAATACAATCACCTAAAAGTGAATGAAGTACGTATAGCTGAATGTGAATTCATTAAGTTTTTACACAATTGCCGACGTAGCGGTCATTATGCGAGTTGTACGAAGAACAGACTATCGGTCATCTGCCTATCAGCTAGGTCAACCAATGTATTCCAATCACTCAACTTAACTCGCAAATGTTTTCGTAATGTCCATTTAAACATCCTTTTAAGGGAAAGAAGAAAAACGTAAAAATGTTTAAATTGAAGTTGTGTATATATTAAAGACAGAAAAAACATCGATTTTTTTAGTGTGATTGTAGATGTCTGTGTTTGTGTCTGTGTGTGTTTGTGTCTGTGTGTGTGTGCCACGTTGTATGCCTGCATTTTGGTCTTTAAATTAAATCGGAAACTGAATCCTAGTCGCAAGATCAATTGCGTAGGATTGCCTCAATGTTAAACTCGGCGGTTACGACAAGTCAATAGCATAACATTTCCTGCAACAACTCCAACAACAACAACAAAACAACTCTCACGACAGTGTGAACACTTAAACATTCAAAAAAACATGAAATTACAATTTTGAATAAATGCTTTACAGAAAAAATTTCACCCAAAAACAACACCAACTACGACAAACAAGACAACAACACGAAACAAAACAATGGACATCATCAACAACTCCTACAACCGCAACGCAAACGATCACACAAACATCAACTACCACACCAGCAAAAAAACATCAATGATCACATAAACAACAACATCAACATTAACATCAACAACATCAACAACAACATCAGCAACAACATCAACAACAACATCAGCAACAACATCAACAACAACAACATCAACAACAACAGCAATAACATCAACAACAACGTGAATAGCAACTTTAAAATTAATCACGTGGTACTCACCAAGTTGAGTAGACAAATTTTCTGCAATGGTGATGATGATGATGATAAAGAGAAAAATGAGATGATGATGATGACGATGATGATGATTATGATGATGATGACGATGATGATGATGATGATGATGACGATGATAGCGATGATGATGAAGATGGCGAGATGACAACGATGATACTAAAAATGGTATGATGATCAAAAGAGTGATGAAAATGACGATGAAGATGACGATGAAGATGACGACTACAACTCACTCACTACAACCATACAATAATAACAATGCCGTGTCTCTGGTTGGAAAATTTTTGTTGGAGATGCAAGACGATGTTGACGGTAATATGGAAAAAATGATTGAAATAATGACAGAATATCAATTAAAATACCGAAAATCAATTCGTGAGATCTAATTAACTTCAATGACAACTAACTGCTAATTAATTTTTAATTGATGTTAATTAATTTTTTTTAAATGTTAATTAATATCACTAGCCCTTCACCTCTGACGTTCATCTACATCTAATGGCCTACCAGAATTTTTGTCACATTCTGTCTTATTAAACGTTAATTATTGCGTTATTGGGATTTAAAATTAAGAAAAATGAATTATTCTTTCTAAAATTTTTTAGTGCTTTTCGGTTAATTTTCTTATAACTAACTTACATAACTAACACACCACACACACACACACACACACACACACACACACACACACACAACACACACACACATCAAACGTAAATACGTGTGATTCTACGCGTTACACACATTGCACATGATAGGTGGGCACTCTCTTGTAGTTAAACCCAGCAACTGCTACGAAAAAAGCAGGCGCTCTAACCATTGCACTATCTCATCAAGCCCGTCTGTGGTGTGTTTGTTTTTGTTTGTAGGTAGATGTGAATCTAAATGCGAACCTATATATCATTCTTTAGTAACCTTTATTCATGCTAATGTGTGCCTATGAAAAAAATATACCTTAGAATACAACGCTTTTTTATGCTAATGCATAAGTGCATGCGGTTTTATGTTGTAAGATATATGCGTCAATTTATATTTTGCTTCTGGTTTAATGAAATCGCAAACAAGAAACAAAAAGTTTTTCTTCTGAGCTTCTATCCCCGCCAATACTATTTGCGGCTGTATTAATCTCACACTATTTTCGGTTTAGTGTTACGTGCCTTCATAAATACGTGTAATGAATATATATGATGTATCTATGTATGATATTTGTGGAGGTGTATATATATATATATATATATATATATATATATATGTCATGGTGGGATTGTGTGTATGTGTGTGAGTGCGGTGTGTGTGTTTTGAAATTTGATAAATTTATTTATTGAAAAATTATTATGTAAGATTGTTAAGTTGAAAAAATTTGACTAAAAAACACAATAATTCCATTAAGGTTAAAAATATTTTTTACCACTGCGAAGTTTTGTCGAGGAAAATTATTGAAATTGCATCAGGAGAGTTAATAAATCACCATTTATAGCGAATCTACTGAAATTCTTGTTTACTTTTTTTTGTGGTCATCTGTCCGCAACATTTCGAGTGAGGATGAATTATTTGGTGAACATCGCACCCCAACCTCGTACAAAGGCACACAATTTGCGTCTGAATTGCAATTATCATAGAAATTGAAAGTTTTTTCCTCATCTACATTTTCAAAAAAAAATTTTCGTGTGACCCTATTTGCCAGTATTGATTTTTCTGCATGTTTTGTACTATTCTTTTATGCCATGTTACTTACATAGTGATTCATTCTTATTCAAAGGTAACGAATAGCACGTTAAATGCAAACATTTTCAATCTATCATGGTCATATTTATAATTTTATTAAAGGAAGACGAAAAGGTTAATCTGGTGTTTAGTATAAAACTATTAAATTTGAAATATTTTCTGTGAGAAATGTATTCGTTATAACACGGTACACAATATTATATAACAGTATAAAACTGATTGCCCGGTTTGTAACATGTAGAAATAAAAAAAAAATAGACCGTACATGTTGAATGAACTCGAGAGTAGAAACGCCTTACTTGATGTGTGTTTACTGTTTATGTAGTACGAACATGCATATACTACGACAGTGGACATGACAACCTTCTTAAAATTTACGTCTGCTTGCATGAATTCAATATCTAACATTATTCAAGCCTCATAAATATTTTCTGGTGGATACAATAAAATAAACAATTATATCTCTACAGGTAGTTAAATGTTTCAAATATTTATACGTTGATGTGACGCGTCTAAGTGTGTTTGTCGAACAACTTTGCGTGTGTCTGCTTGTGTACGTGTGTTTGTTTGCGTGGAATTATCAAGAGTTTCATGTTATGTTGACTATTTGTGTCTGTGTAGAAGTGTGTGTAATCTATTTATGATATTTGTTTATAACTTGTGTTTTATTTCTAAGTATGCATGTGTGTGTGTGTTTGTGTGTGCGTGTTTGTGCTTGTAGATTTATTTCTGTGTTTTTGTGTGTCTGTATTTGCGTACGTGAGTTCATGACCAGTGGACGGCGATGATGGCAGACGCTGTGAGGCCTGTTGTTTGTCTTGGGGTGCCGTTTCGGTGATGATTTACGTGGCATTTCGTGTTTGGACATCTATATTCAGAGGTAGGCAGGGAATTTTACATCCATTCAGTTTGTTTCCGTATTGATTTACTTTATAATATTGTATTAATTATTCATGTCTGCGTCTATATGTTTGGCTGTTTTGTGGTATGAACAAATAAATATGTGTATGGAGTTATTTGAAATAAATTTCAATGACAAATGATCAATACATAATTCAATATTCACAGACATGTAATTTTTGTGAGACAATTTGAAATAATGTTTAATGATATATAAAATTTTCTATGTTTTCAGGATAAACACAACTTGAAAACATGAAAACGATGATGACACAGAGTATAATTGAAAAAAGGAAACAAAAAGAATCGAATTCATGTGATGAACAGAGAGAGAGAGAAAGAGAGAGAGAGAGAGAGAAAGAAAGAGAGTGAGAAAGAGGAAGAATAAAAAATGTTAATATTTCAATGAGATACAAGAAATAAATAGTGAAATGGAATGATGGATGGTTTGATGCGAGGTTGATCAGACAGACCGATTGATTGATTGATGGATGGATGGATAAATAGAAGGATAAATAAATAAATAAATGGATGGGTGGATGGATGAATGAACAGTTGGATGTATGGATAGACAGTCGGATTTATAAATGGATCACTAAATGAATGAGAGTATTGACAGACGAACAGATAGGATGAGCGGAGATTGATGAAATAAATTGATACAATGAACTGACATTGATGGGTTCACTGACGCAATAATTTATTACAATTAATATCAGGAGACATGCATCTGCCTGTATATACGTTACACACGCAGTACACATACATGTTTGTACACACACAGCATACATATATGTATGTACACACACAGCATACATACATGTATGTACACACACAGCATACATACATGTATGTACACACACAGCATACATACATGTATGTACACACACACAGTTTACATACATGTTTGTACTGTATAATGTTCACATGTCTGTAAGGTTCGCCTTAGTTTTAAGATAGTATTTATAATACTTTTTATCATTTTTGTTACAATTTTTATTTGAGACATCCTTTTATTCAACTGTTTTTTATTCTTTTGATTCATAAAATCTGATTTCTGCTGTTGTTACAGTTGAAAAAATTAATGTCTTCAAAATCGTCAACAATAACTTGATAGCAATCATACTCGGATTCCTCGACGCCATTATCATCGTTATTATTATTTTGATTTTTCACCAACAATATCATCATCTTCATCTTTTTTATTACCATCATCTCTTCTTCTTCCTCATTTTTTATCACCATCATTTCTTCATCATAGACATCATGATCGTCGTCGTCGTCGTTGTCCCGTTTCGTAGTTGGAAGCCTGTAATAAATATGAGACCAGTGTTCGATTGAGATTATAACATCATAGCGAAATAACATCAGCCGGCTATTTAGTATTTTCTGCGGCGTTCAACTGGCAGGCTGTAACGATTTGTTGAAAAAAAAATAAATTAATCACAATAACAAAATTTGCACATTGTTAGTAAACCACCAATTAATTACTCCAACTTGATCGTTGTTTGCTTTTGCTTTTTACATCTTTTATATAGCAACTTAAACAATTTTATTGCGCTATTTTTTATAAACAGGGACCTAAAATGAAACTGCAGTCCTGGCAAAGCACACAGACACACCAACCACCATGTGGCAAACAATAAAGTAACGTAATAAATGTTGGAATGGTAACAGATTGGTGTTACAGAAATATCGAGAAGTTTTGGCCGGAATCATTTAATATCAATCTGCATTTGTCGCAGCTCTGTAAATGTTTCCACTTTAAAAGCGGTCATTATGAAAATTTCACTAGAAATATTAACATCCAACAGATGCAGTTAGCCAACTCTTGGATTGGAGTAGATAAGAAACTGAACGGAATTAGTACAACAGAGAATATTATAGAAGTGACATAGAAGAATATGTAACATAGAAAAATAAATATAAGTAACATAGAATGATAAATAACATATAATTATAAGTAAAATAGAATAATAATTAACAGAGAAATCAGAGAAAAAACAACCAGCTTTTTTAGCAGTGATGTGAGAATTTTTTTTGTAAAATATGTGATAGAGAAACCTACCGCAGTGGCAATTAGCGCCGCTATCATATCAACGTCCTCATTCACTCGCTCCAGACCGCCTTATTTTTTATTCATTAAAAAACTTATTTTTGTTTGATTTTTATTCTATAAAAATTATATCTAAGTAAAATTGTTTGCATATTTTGATTTAAAACCTTTCGCATGATTACTTTTTTATTGGTCGTGATATTTTATGGCAGAATTTTTTTCCAAAAAATTGCGGTGCGGTGAACGACTCTGATGACGATAAGCATGTCTGCGCGCGCGTAATGCAACGAAACCGTTCAGCGTTTAAAATGTTTATACAACCGCAACAAAACAACAAATTATTCGCGTTAGAGAGATAGTAGAGCAATTTATGCTCTTTCTGAAAGCGAGAGTCATCTGATTGCCTTCAAACAATATATATTTTCAGATATGTCATTGCGTGTTACTTTCATCACTCATATATATATATATATATATATATATATATATATATATATATATATATATATATATATATATATATATATCTACGTCATCATTATCGTTATACTGTCTTCATCGTAATCGCTATCATCATCTCTACATCTCTATCAGCGTTATCTTAATAGACATTATTATCATAGGCTGAATTATTTAACGAACGTCAACAGAGTGATGAGTTGGATCCATTGTATCAGTGTATGTTTGTGCGTTTTTGTTTGTTTGTTGGTTTATTTACATGTTTGTGTGTTTATGTTTGTTTGTTTGTTAAACATTCGTATATATGTTTGCGCATAAGTTCGATTGCTTATTTTTTGTTTAATTTCCAATTCCATGAT